CAGGTATAGAGACCCAGGGTAGCTATAGTGCAGCTACCAGGTATAGTACTTCAAGTTCCCTTTCCGTCAGCCGCTCGATAACCTCTACACACGCACAGCAATCCACAGCTTTGAAGTCTCATTCGTGCTTTGAACTTGTATAGGTGTGTAAGAGGTATAGCAACATAGTATTTATACGGACCCAGGGTAGCTACAATTCTGTTCCCAGGTATGGCGCGCATGAGGCTTCAAAGCTGTGGTTTTCAAGCTAAATTCAAGGTGGCCTGAGACCAGGGTTTGCTGCCCTAAAACACTCTGTTCAGGCCGCCTTGAAAATGAAGGTCTGCGAAGCGAGAGGAAAGGAGTTTCCACCTCCTCGCTTCCCAGTCTTCCCAGGGTTCATATAGGGAGCCAGGCCATTTTCAGAATCTTCTGGATTTGAGCTGTTCGAGTTCCTATTGAAGGGTATATGTCACATTCAAGCAGCAGAAGGACAACATGCATCCTCTGCTCTCGCTTCGCAGACCGTCATTTTGAAGGTGGCCTGAACAGAGTGTTTTAGGGCAGCAAACCCTGGTCTCAGGCCACCTTGAATTTAGCTTGAAAAACTGTTTGTTTGAACAAAAGGGTGCATTGTTTTTGTTTTGACATGGTTACCTATGTGTGGGCAGAACAAGACATGAAGCAGATTTGACACGCGGCCGCAAGCGGCTGCGCGAGCTCATTTGATTGCTTCGACGCGCAGTTGTCGAGAAAGGGAAGCGCTGGCTTTCGTTTTGCAGCTTCTCAGGTGGTAAAAAGTAATGGAACATCTTGTTGCAACACCTCTCCCAAAGCCTGGTGATCAGGTCCAATCCGCAAAATTTGGACATCGGAGAGCTGATTGCAAGTCCTCAGGACTCGCCATTTGCCAAGTGCCTTCGGAATTCGCGACAGATGCTGGTGATCCCCAATGCGAAGGGGAGTATCTACACTCGCATTTGGTGCGTCTATGAGGCCTTCCTGGCATATAGTTGGGGGAAGCCCATTAAAACCGCCCGGGCACCGGTGCCTCACTATTGGCTACAGTTGCTGCGTGTGGCTTGTGCCTGCATGACGAATACCGGTGCATCTGTGTTTATTGTGAGCTCATTCCCGCCATTGTCCAATTTCACGGGTGTTTTAGCTACGATTACCCTGGTAGCACTTGCTCTTGACACCTTCTTAGTGACCTACCTGTTTAAAACAAATCGTCACACGAGCCGAGTCTTGCAAGTGAGCATCATTTTGTGGGGCGCCCTCTTTGGGTTTGCAAGGGCCGTAGACTCCTACGGGAAGTCGTTCAAGAGGTCTAACAATGTCCTCTTCTTCACTCTGGTTCCTTTCATCGCCGCTGGGTTGGAGGCAGATCGACTCTTGGCAGTGGAAGGTAACAAGCAGTCCAAGCTGCTGAGGGAAGGCTTTCGGGGAATTCGGCACGCACAAAGTGCGAATCCAGCTGATCAGGAGCGAATCATGTCGGAGATAGAATCAGGAAAGTGCGAAGATGCTGTAGATGCTGCAGCTCGCCTGCTCTAAAGCCAAGTTTTTAAATTTTAGGGGCATTTCAGAAGAATGTGTTGAAACCTTTTGATGTTCTGAAGAAGTAAGGCAGTGTCTGTACTTCTGGACATGAACTTTTCCAAGCCAGAGCTGCAAGGTGTCGTTGTTCGTGCCGGTTCTTTGGGAGATATCTCTACTTGGAGTCGGTCCATGTTTGCACTGAGCCTCCTTTGGTGGATTGTCAATCCAAACCAGATCTACCTTGGCAGGGTGATTGAGGTCTATGATCAGCCCTCGGTTGGACCTGAAGTCTTTCGATACATTTTGTTTGCTTTAGCTGCTTTTGAAAGTCTCAGCTTTTTGATATTATTCCTTCTGATGCCAACAGAGAGAAAATCATTTGCTGAGAAAACTGAAGTTCTGATCATTCCATTTGCTACTACGTCTTTGTTGGGTTTGTGGAAGGGACTTTCCTATGAGATTGGCTACACCTTCGTCCTGAACCCAATCATCATCGCTCTTTCGCTGGCGGGGCCTGCACGCGTGGTTCGGATTCCTCGCATTGGCCCGGTCCTTCTGCGAAGCCTTTTCGGACGGAACCCCTTCAGATCTGGGGAAAAGAAGATCGTTGAGATCGTTGAGGACGCACACCCTGATGGCCGCGATCAAGTATGTAGTGATGAACGTAAAACCAGCGATGATGTCGAAATGAAAGAAATTCACTTCTGCATTGAACAGCAGATTCAGGAGACGTCGCCAACTTTTTCTCTTTGAATCAACCCTGTGGCCCTTGCAACCGAAAATCAATTATCCGAAATATTCCGAAATTAATTAGATGTTGAAATATTGTAATTGATTTAAAATAGATAAATATATTTTTTTTAATATATATATATATTCAATATTATTTTTATATTAATTTATAAATAAATATATTCAATAAAAATGCATATATTTGTTATAATATATATATATATTAATTAATAATTGGAAATTAAAATATAATGAATTAATGATTATTTTAAATTAATTGGTTTTAAGATTTTATAGAATGGACTAACGTCCGGGTGTCGTCGATTTCGATTTGGAGCAATTGAAATAAAGATATTTACGGAATAAATAGGATGTATTGTGTATATATATTATTTTTGTCTTATTTGTTTGGGAATAAAAAGAAAGGAAGAGGAAGGCAAAGGATAGTAATAGGTATTTTAAGGAAATGAGGAAGAATGAAAAGGAAATAATAAAAGAATAGAAGGAATTGAAATAATGCATAAATAGGAATTAAGAACGAATTAATAATAATTAAAGAAAATGAATTAAAAGGATATTAAGAGGAATGAAAAAAAATTATATAGATAGATGTTAAAATAAATTATAACGAAATATTTTTTTGAGGAAATAAAAAGATAGGAATAGGAACGTAAACGGTAGGATAGGAATGAAATAGATGAAAATAAAGGATAATAAAAAGAAAATAATATAGCATTTAAAGGAAGGAATAATAAATTAAAAGTAAAAATTGAGGATTTAAAAATTAAAAAAATAAAGGAAATAATAAATAATGAAAAATAAATAAAAATTGAATTAAATATAAATAAACGAATTATAACATGATGAAATGGAAATTATAGAAAATTGAAAAGGAATGATTAACAAATGCATATTAAAAATATATATATTATTAAATTAGAAGGAAATAATAATGAAATAAATGGGCGAAAGAAGGAATGAAAAGACAGATAGAAACAGAACGAATGTAGGAATGATAAATATTATATAAATAAAGAATATATTAAAAGAAATGTAAAGGAATAAAAATTAAAATAACGATAATTAAAAGAAATCGAATGGGCATGAAAAGGAAATTGGAGGAAATAAAGATAAATAGAAAAGAAATGAATTGGATTTAAAAGGAAATTAAAATTTATGTTTTAATAAAATATATCGATATTTTATTGGTTGTTTATGGTAATTTGCAAAAGTGGTATATGTTTGGGAATTAAGTCCGATTATATTTTATATTGTAAGGTATAATGTCGGTTAGGTATTAATTGTGAATAAAAAATATATTAAGTATTAAAATTTTTTATTTTTAGGGAGTTTGAAATATATTACGTCTAATTATAATTAATTTCGTAATTTAAATTTAATAAATAGAGGTGTTAAAAATATGTTTTTTTTAATAGGGAATAGGAGAAAATCTAAGATAGGATTTAAAATAATTTATGATTTATTGTTTATGATAATTAATATTATTTATGATAATTAATAAAATTAATAGCCGATTAAGATTGTATATGTCCTATATGGAGGACCAATAACGCGATTATCTTTGATATTATAAGGCCCAATTGAGATCGTAAAATCTACATTAAAAGGCTAAGGATCGGGCTCCCAGGGGTTTTGAAGCATTTCGCATTTAACCGTAATTAACGTCGTTTTCGAAATTTAATAGATAGAGGTGCCCCTCGCGAATGATAGTAAGGAATAGGAAAAAATCGTGGGGAAATATTTATAGGTAATCCATGACTAATTGTTTATGGTGGTTGCCAAAATTAATCTATGGACCAAGGTCGGGCACGTCCCAGCTAGAGGACCAAATGGACGATTGCCCTTGACCGCTTGACACTATAAAATCGGATAGATCCCAATTAAGATTGTAAAAACCATGCTAAAGGGCTAAGGACCGGGACTCCTAGGGGTTTTGAAGCGTTTCGCACCTAACCGTTCCTAATATCGTTTTTGAAATCCATTCCTCGAAATTCAAATGTTATATAGGTCTCGAAAAGTATTCTATCTTAGAATAACATATTCCTCCTCTATATTTTATTTGTATATTTTTTTCATAAAAGATATATTATCATTGAATAATACCTTTCTCCTTTAAATTGTATTCCGCGTAGCTCACAAAAGATGTATTACCTTTAAAATAATATATTATTCCTTTAAATTCAATTTCCATATAATTTACAAAAAATATATTATCCTATAATAATATATGAATCCTTTAAATTTATTGTTTATGTCGTTAATAAAATATATATTACCTTAGAATATTATTTAATTCTTCGAAATTTAAATTCCATATAATGAATAATAATTAAATTGCCTTTAAATAATATCTTCCTCCTCCATAATTTAATATCCTTAAATAATTCGCAAAAAATATGCCACCATAAATCAAAATTTCCTCTATAATTTAAGTCGTATATAATTCATAAAAGACATATTCCATATATAAAATATATATATACATATTTAAAAATTCAATGTAAATATATCTCTAAAAATAATTTGGTATCTAAATTATAAATGTATAATTTTAATCAATAAAAAATATTTAATTTTAATGCAAAAATTCAAAATAATATATATAAAATATAAATCCTAGCCAATTAATTATATTATTTGTATATTATATTTAATTTGAGAGGAGGGAGACATGAAAGGTAGGACAACGGGAAGAGAAGAAAATGCGAGAGGCAGGAACAAAAATGCAATGTTCGACATGGTGATTTATTCCCTCGGAAGCTACCTATTGTAAATATATGTTCATATGTATTCTAATTCAAAAAGATTCTGAGGAAAGCAAACTTGTTCCATGGCTCAGATCATCGATGAACATTGAATCGGAACATCATAAGATTTAAATTATCCTGAAACCATAAGAGGCTCACGAAGACGTTCCCCAAGAGGAAATTGACGTGCTTCACAAAACAAATTCTAGATATATATTCCCTCGGGGAACACCTTTCGTGATTATGCATTGTTTCTAAACGTTCAAGAGGGCCTCAATTATCCTGAAATCATGAGAGGCTCACGAAAACGTTCTCCAGGAAAGAATTAAATTAAGGGGGGGGTCTGTATTAAAAGATCAAATCGAGGGGGGGGGGGGTGGTTTTGAATTGAATTAAATAATCAATTATATGACCCGGACGTCCCAACACTTGCTTCGCAAGACAAACTCAAGGTATCCCCTAAAGGGCTACCTTTCGTGATAAATATTAATGATATATTATCATTATTCCCCACCTGCCACGTGACGGTTGTTAGATTTTAGCACAGTTGTTCTCCCTTTCCCTTTCCCTTTCCCTTTCCCTTTCCCTTTCCCTTTCCCTTTGCCTTTGCCTTTGCCTTTGCCTTTGCCTTTGCCTTTGCCTTTGCCTTTGCCTTTGCCTTTGCCTTTGCCTTTGCCTTTGCCTTT